ATTTTGGAAACGTTGAGTATCTGTTTGTTGGTGGCTGAACCAGACAAATTGAACTGGATTGGGTCAAACCGGTTTGAACTAGTTGATGGTAGGCTTTAGGATTTTGTAACTCATTGGCAATGGTCGGCGTATGGGAGTCATATGCTGACTTTCTGCTGTCTAATGTCAATTTTCTGATGAGGGATTCGACTGGGGACTTTGATTTTGGATATGGTCTTTCATCGGGGCCAAGAAGGAGGAGATCTATTGATTCCAGTGGTTATTTGGTGATGGTAAACACCAAGATTTGGTGGGAAGGTTGTCAGCAGCCTCTAATACCTTGGTGAAGGAGGGGTCAACAACCTCTCATCAGCGGCTAGTAAATGTGACAAACTGACTTTTGTATTTATTCCGTTTGCTCACCAACTTGATTCATTGATAAGGGAGATGTAGCAGCTACTTTCTTTTTCTGAGATAAACAGATTTAGCAGCTACTTATGCTAGGAGAGGAAGAGTTTTTGTGAAGGATGTTCTTTGGACAATTTGTCGACGGTGAGAAGGTGAGCAGTGGGACGAGGGCAGATCGTTTTGTGTGCTTGATCATTAGGGCATGAATTGAATTTTGGACTCTTGATGTAGAACGAAGAGAACTTCAGAGAAGACTTGGGGAAAATTTATTCGGAACCGAGACTAAATATCTTGGATTTAAATAATTAAATCAATAACTCAGTGGTTGAATAATTGTCGAATGAATAATCTAACAAATAATTAAGACAAAGTACGCTACTTAGCCCCAAAATATAATCAAATAGAAATATGCGTAGGAATTCTGCTAAATGAAACAATGTTAATTACTTGAATAACCTAGAATAGAGAATAAGTCAATAACATCCTGAATCAATAGGAAATAATGAACTCATACTAATCATAAAACTATAGTTAATAATTCCTTAATAAGCTAAATTCCTCAATAATAAATGAATATATACCATCTCATAAGTTTATTATTTATTGAAATATGTCCAATTGGATATCATCTCGTTCGCATCATTAAATTGCTACTATTGCTTTTTTTTTTAGATAACAAGTGTAAGAATATAAATTGCTATTATTGCATTATAGTCAACTCTTCCGAAAAATAATCCTTTGTGGAATGTGCATAATAATTTTGCTTCACTGGAGTGCTTCTGCCCTTTATTTCTGAGTTGATGTAATTTTTTTTTTGAAATAAGAGTTGACATGTAATTTATTTCTCTAATTATGAATATGAATTTCCAAATGATGAATATTTCTAAATTTGTTTGAATGGTAAGAAATGAACACGTATATTTATATATATTTTTAGATGAAGTGTGCTGTTGGAGCATAGGTGGCTTGATAGAAGCACATCTAGTGGATTAAGTTTCGGAGATTGCTGATTCAGTTCTTATTATTATGTTCTGGGGGCTAGAAGTGTCATATTGGACATTTTAAAAAAAATTCCCTATCTTGCTACATCTTCTATTGTGAGAGTGAAGGGATATTCCTCTCTCCTGACTAGCAACAAAAGACAAGATAGCCAAGAAAAGCCGACTGTAATTAGTGGGTTTCTTGTTCTTGGCTGGTTCAGAAATTTGGTCTGTGTATCGCTAGATTCAGTTTAGTTTCTTGACAAAAAGTTGTCGGTCAGAGCTTCCATTGCTTCTGAGAACCATCTGGTTTTCTATTGTTGTATTTCTTTAGGAGTCTTTCTATATGTAAACCTGTAGTGTGTGGTGGTGGCAATTTAGTGTTCTTATTTTCATGTGCTTCCATGTTTTCAATTTATTTACAATTTTGTTAGGAATAAACAGTTTATAGTAAGATTTCTTCTTGCTATAAGATTGGTTTGGTAATCTAAACTGGAAATGGGATTTAGTGAAGACAGTCCTAGTTTAATTTGGTTTAATATGGTTCAATGTGATTTGTGCTGCCTTGAAGAGCCTAGAAGTCCACCTGAATAGGAAATACGCCCATATTTAGGATTCAAGGACTTTGCAAGATATATTTTATTATTAAATCCTTTTACTCATTTTATTTTCTATGGTACTAACTTTCATTATTTAGTTTATACAGTGTATCTACAAAATTAGCTTGTTTTGAATGATCATGTTGTATGCTTTGCCTGGCAGGTAGTTAAGGTTGCTGATTTTGGGGTTGCTAGGGTGAAAGCTCAATCTGGAGTTATGACAGCTGAAACGGGAACGTACCGGTGGATGGCACCAGAGGTGAGCCCTTTATATATATTTTTTTGGATGGCATGGGAGTAAGACTCAAACTTGAGTTGTCAAACTCGATTAAGAAGTATCAGCTCAACTACTATGCACATACTGAGATCCTCTTCCTGAGCATATATTTTGGCTAAATTTATTGAATGGGGTTTGGTTGAAGTGTTTGAACTAGTATGCTTGAAGGAAAATGTTACTAAGCAGCAAATAAGGAAATATGTTTTTGACCTAATATTTTTTCCAGTAATCTAGTGCTTCCTTTATTATTATAGATTAATTTGTTGCTCAGATCTTATGATTACTGTTACACGGTTTTGCTATTTGTTCTTTTCTTTGTTAATGGTATTTTCAAATTTTGTTTGGTTTGAGTATTATAAACATTCTAATTGCTTGTTGATCTTGTCATTTTCTTACAACAGTTCTTTTGCATTGAAGGTTATAGAACACAAGCCGTATGATCACAAGGCTGATGTATTCAGTTTTGGAATTGTGTTATGGGAGTTACTGACAGGAAAGGTAATTTTGAAGTATTATTTTCTAGGTAGTGTGGTTTTCATGATAAAACTACTGTGCTCGCTTTCTCAAACTTTTTAAATTTTTGGCTTCTCAGCTTCCATATGAATTCTTAACGCCATTGCAAGCAGCAGTTGGAGTGGTTCAAAAGGTACAACATTTGTCTACGATATTTGTGAAAATATTTACTCATTATGTTTCTAGAAGGAAAAGACCAGACACAAAATTCGACGAACTGGTGTATCCAAATACTTAAACTTGTAAATATTTTCAGGGTCTCCGGCCTACAATACCAAAGAATACACATCCAAAGCTTTCTGAGCTACTCGAGAAATGCTGGCAGCAGGATCCTGCTTTGAGACCTGATTTTTCTGAAACCATAGTGATCCTACAGCAAATTGCAAAAGAAGTATGTCTTTACTATTATTATTTTTAGAAATAAAGGAAGTATGCCGTTACTGAGCCATACCTGTCTAGCTTCTTATCCCCAGTGAAATAAATATACTCATATTTAATTTGTATTATAATTTATGCACAAGAGCATATTTGTCCCGTATCTAACAGGTTAGTCGGTTGCACTGACAATTTATGGAGTGTCACCTCATGTTGGAATGTCATCAAGAATCTGTCTGGATTATTCTTAAAAAAAGAATTAATCTTGCATTAAACCAATTTGTATATGAGTAAAGGCTGAGACATAATTTGAACAGGTTGGAGTTGAAAGTGAGGATCGTCGAAAAGAGAGATCCGGAGGAATTTTTTCTGTCCTCAGAAGAGGCCACTCACTGAAGCGGGCAGAATAGAAGATAAAAGTGATACCATATTCTTCATAACTTGAGCATATTTTCGTTGATACTGTACAGTAATTACTTAAAATGATAAAGCCTTTTGATTGCCTCATTTGTCAGAAGCTTTTACTTATATGATCTCTAATTACTAAATTTCTCTTTTGTGCGATTCATATCAGTAAGTGATGATGATGATATGAATGGACCTTGTAATGTAGGGTTTGCGGCCTTACAGTAACAAACAGTCAGATTACTTGTTTTTAATTGTTTCTTATTGATATTTGATATGGTTAATTCAATACATACGAGCAGCGTTTGGATTCAGCACTCTACAAGTCTTGCAGGGTGTTTTCTTTTCTTTTGATTGGTTGATTTAATATTTTTTGTTGCATGTGCCAAGTTAAGTGCTAGTCATGTTAAAAAAATGTGGTATGCATGACTACTTGCGTTTTCCCGACCAAGCAACTGAAACCCTCTGAGAGGAGCTTAAAAGAATCGTGGACGCGTTTGGATGGTGTGCAAAACTCAGGCGTTAAGTTTAATCACAGCTTACATAGAGGAAATGGTAATCTATGAGGAGAAAAGAACGCAGGCAAGGCCAGCAAGGGCATGGTGAAATTTTTGTACGTTCGTATAAATGGATTAGAGTCTGTGTGATTACATTTAGTAGTTGATTTCAAATGGGGTTAACGGACCCCGAGTTGCATGCACAATCCATGCATTTGAAAGCCGGAGTATATTGCACGTGGGAAAGTAGTTTGAAAATTTAATTTTAAAATGAATTATTCTGCATCTTTATTTATTTATTTGTAAAGTGATAGTGAATGTTATTAACTCCGCCTGCATATTTATAGGTTCTCAGTTTCTCATAGATCCTAAGATTTTTTTTTTTTTTATTCTCTTGCCTGAGGTATAAGAAATGGTAGGTGTGGTTTGATAAACAAAATTGCTATGAAGCATGAAAATAAGCTAATAAAACTTTTGAACATGTATCCTAAATGTTTTAATAATAAACTTTTGGAGAATTTAGGATATAAAAGTATATATAATTAGACATTTCTAGAATTACTAAAATTTAAATAATTAAAAAATTAATCCATTAATTAAATTCAAATATTTAGTGGCGTCACAATGGTTTTGAAAATAAAATGAGTTCTTTTTTTTTTTTTAAAAAAATAAATTTCTTGATCATAATTCATGGTCCTCAAATAATTACAACTACCAAGTAATTCAGGTCCACCAACTAGAACAATGTAATCAATCTTTACTACATAATGGCTATTAATTTCATAACCTAATTCCTTATAGGACATATCCACTATTAGGTTAAACATTATGTTCTTGTATTAATTATACAAGGCTACATCAGCCGTCTTTGTTCTTGTAGTATATGTTTTGTATCAATATAGGTATGATACACATTATTACATGAGAGATTAAATTGACAAATTTAATGTAGTTATTTTAATTAATAAAGTTGACCATATATATAATATGTTGTAACATTTTTTAATAATTATAGAGTAATTATAGTTAAATCAGTCCATCAATTTAATTTCATTTTCAATATATTTTAATTTTATGTGACAAATCAAACATTTTGTAAATATTTCAGTACTAAAACTTATAATATAGTATTTGTTTGAATTGTAGTTGTGAAGAATAGTTTAGAACTATATTTTCACTTTTTTAAAAAATTAGTGTATAAAATAAAAAGGAAAATTAACGCTATACAAACTTACTGATGATGATTGAGAGAATATCGTGCCAGTAATTATGCAATAATAGTCGTGATAAATTCATAATCATTGTAATTTCTAAAATGGTGCTAACAATACTACAATAGCCATATTCTTAAAACAAACCCAACTTTTTCAGTTCCATCAAATAAGTTCTACAAAAGCTATATATATATATATATATATTAACATGTTTCTGATACATACAAATATGGGATTCATAATTGTGAACGTTAAACCCCATTTAGATGAAGAAGTTATTTCTGTAATTTGTTTTGCTATTTTTTCTTTTTAAAAAAAGGTGAACAACAAAAGCTACATGAACAAGCGATAAAGCAGGCAAATCCACCCGCCGTTGAGACCACCGTTAAGAACCAACTTGAACCAGAACGAGTCTACTGCCCTTTTATTATTTGCTTAATTATCATACTATCACTATATAACACCCACTCAGGTTAACCCTGCATATATTCTTATCAATGGAGTTCTCTCTCAAGAAGTCTTTTAGATCATCTGGGTCATACAAGAGCAGCAGAGTTTCCCCTAATGCCGAGGATAAGGATACCCGCAACCCCAAACAGGAAGAACTCCCCATTCTCCTCCATCTCGACGCCGTTGATCGCCAATGTCATCGGCAAGGTCGCCGGCAAGATCAAACAGTGAAAGCGGTTGATCCTACCAAACCGAACAATGATAATAACTTCGCCTCCTCCGATTCCAGCTCTTCCTCATTGACGTCCGTGCTAGCTAGAAACCGCGCTGGAAATGACATCAGTGCCGGCGAGATCACCGTCGACATCGACGGTTTGGAAAGTGAAGACTCAAGGCGCGGCGCAGCTGCGGAGCGCAAGAGCTTCGTGACGTCTCCAACGCCGTTGGATATTTCAAAGGAACTACGGGTCTCTTTTGACGTCCCCGGGCCTAACTCGCCCGATGCGTCGGTCGAATCATCCATGCACTCGACAAAAAAGAGAGGAGGCACCCTGGAGAGGAGGGTCGACGAGGTGTTGAGGTGCACGTCTAATGCGTCGTTTCAAAGGAGGTCGTCGTTGTTGTCGAGAGTGAAAACGAGATCCAGATTGCAGGACCCGAATGTGCAGGAGGACCAGAGGCTTTCCGGGTGGATGGGTAAGTCGGGTCAACTCAAATCGGGAATGATGGCAAAAGCTATGGAGGATGAAGAAGACGACCCATTAGCCGGCGAAGACTTGCCGGAGGAATACCGGCGGTTTGCCAAATTCAACGCGTTGACGTTGATCCAATGGTTCAGCTTGTTGCTAATTGTCTCGGCTCTAGTTTCCAGCCTCTCAATTCGTTCTTGGAAAAAGAAAACCCTTTGGGATCTCCGTTTGTGGAAATGGGAAGTGTTCTTATTGGTTTTAATTTGCGGCAGGTTGGTTTCTGGTTGGGGGATTAGATTGATTGTCTTCTTCATTGAGAGGAACTTCCTTTTGCGAAAAAGGGTATTGTATTTCGTGTACGGATTAAGAAAAGCCGTGCAAAATTGTTGCTGGTTGGGTCTCGTCCTTCTCACATGGCATTTGCTGTTCGACAAGAAAGTTGAAGGGGAGACGAACAGCAAGTTCCTCCGTTATGTCACCAAAATACTATGGTGCTTTTTGGTGGGTAATTTGCTGTGGTTACTAAAAACCTTAATGGTTAAAGTCCTCGCTTCTTCTTTTCATGTGAGCACGTACTTTGATAGGATTCAGGAATCCATTTTCAATCAATACGTAATTGAGACTTTATCAGGTCCGCCATTGGCGGAGATACAGAGGATTGAAGAAGAGGAAGAGAAGATCAGAGAAGAAGTAAGTAAACTAGAAAAAGCAGGGGCTGTGGTTCCACCTGAACTTGGGTTCTCTGTTTTTCCAGCTCCTGGTAAGAGTGGAAGGAAATCGGTTATGGGTAATCAGGGACAAATTAGTGGAAGCAAGGAACTCAAGAGTATAAAACTTCCCCCTGGGAGTTCCAGGAAGAATGATGAGGTGATCCCTATTGATCATCTGCATAAACTTAACCACAAGAACATTTCTGCATGGAACATGAAGAGGTTGATAAAGATTGTTCGTCATGGTTCATTGTCAACATTGGATGAGCAGTTACTAGATAATCCTAATGAAGATGAATCTACAAGTCAGATAAGAAGTGAAAATGAAGCTAAAGTTGCTGCAAGAAAGATTTTCAAGAATGTGGCCAGGGATGGAGCAACGTACGTATATATCTCATGCATGATCCATCTTCCTATTAATATATAATTAATTAATTAATTAATTAATTCTCCATTCTCAAAGTTCTATTAATAATCATAAGCTAAACAGTAGAAAATATTCACAAGAATCAGATCAATTGATCAAAATGTGCTGAGTTGTATTTATGGCAGGTACATCTACTTGGACGATTTGCTGCGATTTCTACGTGAAGATGAGGCTTTGAAGACGATGACACTTTTCGAAGGTGCAATTGAGAATAAAAGAATTAGCAAATCATCCTTGAAGAACTGGCTGGTAGGTAGCATCACATCACCAAATCATTCTCTTATACCCCTTTTGTCCTTTAATATTCTTTTATATACAAGCGGAAGATAAATGAATATATATATAATAAACTTGAGTGTTTATAGGTGAATGCATTTAGGGAACGAAGAGCACTTGCATTGACACTGAATGACACAAAGACAGCAGTAAACAAGCTTCATCAGATGGTTAATGTTATTGCTGGCGTCATTATAGCCGTCATCTGGCTCCTCATACTGGAAATCGCCACCACCAAGTTTCTCCTCTTTGTCAGCTCTCAGCTTGTCCTCGTCGCCTTCATTTTTGGGAATACATGCAAGACCATTTTCGAATCCATCATCTTCTTGTTTGTTGTGCATCCTTATGATGTGGGTGATAGATGTGAGATTGATGGAATTCAGGTACCTAAATTTAATACACATACGTTTTAATTTACACATCAAAAGAGCAGTTACATTTAGTGATTGGTGCATATATATGTACATGCGAGCAGATGGTGGTGGAGGAGATGAATATTCTTACAACCATGTTTTTGAGATATGATAACCTGAAGATCATACACCCAAATAGTGTACTTTGGCAAAAACCAATCAGCAACTTTTATCGCAGTCCTGAGATGGGAGATGCAGTTGAATTCTGTGTCCATATTTCCACACCTGCAGAGAAGATTGCTGCCATCAAACAGAGAATTTCATGGTATATCTAACTACCCACCATAACATACCACCATATAGTTAATACATATACAATGGGTGTATGACATTGATTAATTAATGCGTGCATGCAGTTATCTTGATAGCAAGAAGGAGCACTGGTGTTCTGGTTTCAAGATTGTGTTTAAAGATGTGGAAGAGTTGAATAAGGTGAAATTTGCAGTGTGGACAAGTCACGTAATGAACCATCAAGACATGGGAGAAAGGTGGAGTAGGAGATCACTTTTGGTAGAGGAATTGGTCAAAATTCTTAATGACCTTGACTTGCTCATCCCACTTGACATCAATCTCCGCCCCATGCCATTGCTGCCTCCTCTTGTCTCCTCTAGTCGATTCCCTGCTACTTGGACATCTCCCTCCCCTGATAGTTAAGACAGAATTAAGCTTCAATTACTAATTTATTAATTAATGACCAAAAATTGATAATCATTAGCTGCTAATTATTAGTTAATTTGTTTATCCATTCATGAAGTTAGATGTTTTTGTTTCTTTTTGTGCCATTAATAGGTTTTCTAAGTAATCCAAAGTAACACATTAATGTGTTCTTGGTTCTTAATTAGATTTTATAGGAAAAGAAAGAATTTGATTGTTTGATATTCTAGATAAGAACTCTTGTATTGTAATTCACTTGTATTTTGTTTACCATCACATTTATTGAAAATAAATTTAACCACACATAATGTAAAAAAAACAAAAAAGTTTAGTGACTTAAATGTAATTAACAAGACAATTTGTTTAACCAACTTTAATTGGTTTAAAGTCCACCTCCTCTCATTACCATTAATATGTGATTACTGATGATATTTTATATATATATATATATATATATACATACATACATATATCTTTTCAAATATTGTTTTAGGTTAAAGAGTGAGACTGGTAGGAACCGGGTCGATCCAACCCAACTCGTGGACAGCTCTAGTTTTTCAAACAAGGCCTTTGAATATAAAATTATGGGCCCTCAACGACTCCAGTTTTTCTATTTAAACACACGACTATGGCCTCTCTGTGAAAATAAGCCCGAATTCTATATAGTTGGGTCAGGAGAAATCAACCAGCTCTACACGCTGGGAATGGCTTCCCACCTTTGAAATTATATGACCCCCTTTTGAAATCGTGAGGGAAGAGAAGACAGAAACAGAAGCAAAGCAAATGCAAGCTTGCAATGGCTACCACTAGTACTAGCAACCTCTCCAGCTTGGTCCACGAACTCCGTGAACGAATAGCCGCGACATCATCCACACCGCCAACCAACAGCAATGCTCATCGAGACGATGATGCTTTGAACACCAGATTTCGCGCGGTTTTGCCCAATCTCCTTCACGCATACGTTGTCCCTTCATCTTCGGGTCCTCTCTCTTTCTCTCTCTACTCATTTTCCTAGCTTTCCTATTTGCTTCTTGGAAAAAAAAAAGATGCACGCTGAAGTCCCAAGTTCAACGTTTGTTAGTTCTTTTAGTTTTTTCTTGCCAGTTTGATAAGTTAGCGTCCAGGTTAACAAACCACGATTGCTTTTTTTTTTTTTTTTTTCAATTATATAAGTGATTATAGTTCTTGTTGGTTGTTTGTTGCAGCCAATGAGAGAGAAGTCCTAGCAGTGGTGAAGCTTATTGCTCACACAGCAAGGAATTTTCCTGGAGTTTTTTACCACGGGAAGCCTAGTGCTGTTCTGCCTGTAATTGGTCGGATTTTGCCCTTCCTTGCTGAACCAGCTTTCCGGTAACTGATTTAACTTGGTTTAATTCCTTTATTTTTTGTTTTGAACATTTTTTGACGAATAATGATGGTATTTCAGCTCTCGACATGGAGTGATTTTTGAAACAATTGGATCACTTTTATCCTTGCTACGTACTGGATCACGGGACACATACCGTCTGTTTTTCCTTGATTCTATGCTGGCCATTGAAGGTAACAAGAGAAGGATGATCATTCTTTAAATCCTTATTGATGATATTTTTTTTCTTTATGAAAGGTGATGATGTAATTTATGTTAAAATGGGTTCCCAGTTACTTTTCACCATTTTTGGAGAATGAGCTTGCTTTTTTTTTTTTCTCGTTTTTTTTTCTCCAGATAAGATTAACTCCCTAGAAAATTCCAAATGGGATTGGAATTATATGTTACTAATTTCATCAATTTGGTAGAAAGTAATACCCAAAAATGGGGTTTCAGTTCATTTTTCATCATCTCTGGAGCATGAACTGCCCATTTTTTGTCTTTAGAGAACATTGGTTCTGTGTACTCTTCTACACTGGTTAACATATTTTGTTTTCTTATATTCTTTTTCTTATATATATATATATATGTATATATTCCATTTGCTGAGTAAGTATATAGCTGAAGCTTGAGATGCTTTTTTTATGCAGGCATTTTCTATATTGCATTATGCGTTGCTGAAGATTCAAAAATTACAGAATCAACTAGATTGAGGTTGAAGTGTTTCGAAAATTCATTTTCTGGTATTCTGGGCAACTCGACTCCTCTCTGTGATCTTCCATCAACTAATAAGCCTGTTGATGGGCCTGGTATCATGGTTAACCTGTTGGGCAGAAAGAGTTGGCAATCTTTTGCTACTTGGACCCTGAAGCTTATTAATAAATGCTTAACTGAAGGGACCCTGTACGTGGAAGGACTTGTTAGTACACCATTTGTTTCAGCTGCGTGTTCTTTGTTGTGTTACGGAGACGCTGATTTACATATGGTGGGTTCCAGTGGGACCAGAAGTTGGTTATGCTAACTTATTTAATCAACTATGGACTTGTTTACACGTTCTTATAATTTTTTTCCATAATTTTTTAGCAATTATCTGACTATTTGAATTTTGTATGGGAGGCTTGTTTTGACTTTGCACGCATCATTGGATCAGTCATAAGTCTTGACATTGTTCCATATGAGAATGTTATCCACTCAATATCTGCCATATTAAATGAGGATGAAGAGGGAGTTCCTATTTTCAGGTGTGTCTTCATGCTAAACTTGCAATGCTGAGCGGGAACAATTTTGTAGGTTGAAGGGCCTCTAGGATAACATCCGCTAGATGACTTATCATAATCCTCTGATGATACCCCTCTGTGGTTTATTTGCAGGAATATAGTTTACGATTCCTCTATGGGTGGCTGCCTTAAGGCACTGCACACTAATTGTCCTGATGGTGTTGTCAAACTAACAGCTGAAAATTTAGTCAATGCCTTTTTCCACTCAATAGGGACAACCAAGAGTGATGAGTTGAAGGTTAACTTGAATTTAATCTTTTTTTTTTCTTCTCTATAAAAACTTAATCCTTGTTGTTTGGCGAGTAATGATAATATGTATGAAATTCAGGTTGCGTTATGCAGTGCATATGTACGGATTGCTAAAACCTGCCCACCTCATATATGGAAGCCAGAGTCTCTTGTGCATTTGCTTGGGTTTCCTGAACCTTGCTTTCCATTAATTGATTGCTTTCAAGTAGCTGTATCTATTCTTGGTCCAGATCATGTTGGAGGGAAGTCAGCAAATGATACAAGCTTATCTTTGTTAAAAGTAGGTGATAAATCTATTTTAAACACAAGGATTGGAGAAAAAAGACATTTTCAGGATGCAGGTACTTCCAGTACCAAACGGCAAAAGATTGGGCAAGAAACTAAGGATTCAAATGCTGACATTCCAGTGCAGAAAAGAGATGAATTTGTGGATAATATGCATTCAGCACTTCTTTCACTTATTGAACATTTAAAGCCGCCTTCTGTTGGACCTGATTCTTTAAGATCAGAAGTTGCATTAACAGCTCTAAGCATGCTTTGCTTTGTCTTCTCTTTGTACCCATGGACCAACATGTCACATGCTGTATTTAAGGAGATGTATGCATGGATCCCCTGGATATGTGAGCAGGTACAAATACAAATAGATATTAAATTTGCTAATTATTCTACAAATTTTTCTGCTAATCTTAATTTTCTATACGTGCCATGTAGGCAAAGCAAGGAAGTACACTTGCTCCTGCTATTTCCTTCTACTTGGAGGGGATTCACAGCATGTTGCTTTTGCAAAGTAAGCCTTAACTGATGTGTATATATATATATTTAAATTCAGATTTGGTGCTATTGGATTTTGACCAGTCTTCTCAGTTATGAAATGAAGAAATTGGCATGTTGAGGTATCCTTAATTTGATCTCTGTGCTGCATTCTGGTCATTCATACATCCCATCCTATCATGTTGCTGAATTATATATGGCATTTTGAGGTCATTTATACATCTTTATGAATTGGTGTGCTCCTGTTCCCTTGAAGTCTTTACTGTGTGTTCTCTGCATGGGTTCTGTGGGAACAGGAAGCAGGAAATGTTACAGAGAGGGACTTTGTTCACTCGTTTATGAGTTTAGATACTGGAAAGGAATGGCAGACTCTTCGCAAATTGTTTCTTTCTTTGAGTTAATGCTTCCAGATTGATGGTTTTGACTCCAGTTCAGGTTAATGTCCACGGCTCTTTCAGAGGGTCTCTTTAGCTATTTTGCTAAGGGATTGAGCTATCTTGTACTAAAGTTAACTTGTTTTTGTTTTCTGTTTTGCTATTGTAGGACGTATTTTATTCTCCTATTATTTAGTCTCTCTTTCAGTCTTTCTTATTATGTATATTTTACTTTTATTCAAAAACAGCCAATGCCCCTCAACCCTTTTAAAAATGGTCCTTTTCTTTTTAACATGTTCGTTGTGGAGTTGTAATTGCTTCCTCTTTTGGTGTGTCCTTTTCTTTTTTCCATTATAATGATGTTTTGTAGTGGTTTTCT